AATGAACTTTGTTTTACGTTGCTTCATTTCGTAATTGTTCACTCGATTTTCGTATAGATCATAGTGATTGTTACAAATTTGTTCTCGAAGCAGTCAGTAACTTTTCGGTCAGCAAATTAACAGTCTACCTACAGATTTTCGTTAATCGTTCATATTTTTACATCTATCGAAGTGACTTTCTTCGCTGCCGAACCCGCTTGACAGAAGAAAATTCCTTACGTGACTCCCGTGCAATTTCACGAAAAATACTACTTCAATTACCCGTGACATCTCTGACCAACACTTTCAGCTACACGGTAAATGTCCAATCGTTACACGTTTCGCCGTTTCTCGGCGAGACAACCGCGATGTACGATTCACAATCCGGCGATCGGCTTACCAGTCTATCGGATGTCTGGGAAACAGGGATCGGCTAGAGAGAGGGGAGAGGCACGGTTAGCTCGACGCAGTAGGAAGAAATTAAACGCCACGCTCGGATGAAACGGAAATAGAAAGTTCTTGAGAAACTGGCCCAGCTCTAGATCGTGAACGTGGCGGCCACCAGGAACGTGAAACTCGTCCGACACGAATTTCATTCAGCATTCCACGCGGGCGCATAATTTCGCTGGCTGGCTGGTAATCGGTGTGTGAAAACGCGTCCGTTCGATCATCCCCGCGCGGTGCGTGGCGACGAGGTGCCTATCTACGACGTTACGCAAAGATATCTCGTAATTACCGGTGGCCGTTCTGTTGGCGTTATACGGTTTCAGGTGTTTCTATGATGGTAACATGATCGTGCTCAACGAAGCTGCACACGTTTTGCGTAATTACCGCGTGCTACGCTGCTAATGTAACGCGTGTCCTCCGTCCTTCGAGACGGGGATGGGCATTGGAGGATCTTGCCAGCAGTTTGCCACGTGATATCTCGCGATACCCTGTGAATTATTAATTCATGGCTAAATAAACTGCAGGTCGAAATTCGTGATAGGGTAATTTCAAGCGTTGCCATCGTCGAGTCGAAAATAGCGGAATCGGTGAAATTAATACACATAATTTGCAACGTAATATACATAATGTGATATAATCGCGGAAGTCTGCGTACGCCCCTTAAATTTTGGAGCAACTGTTATTAAATTATCCAGCGATTAGAATCAAGCATATTTAAACAAGGGGATAACAAGTTGATCCGTCATTGAAAATTTTTGAGGCCTCATTACCAAGATTTCTCTTTCGGTTAAAGGAGGATTGAAAATAAAATAGAAAATATATATAAATATAAATAATAATAATATTTATTTATAACAGAAAGTAATATATTGTAAGTTCTCCGTAGGCGGAGAACGTTTAAAATTTTCTTAACATTGACTTTTCTGTAAAAATTAATCGTCCTGTAAAAATAATCGAACTGGAATCAAAATTAGAAAGGTCCCGATAAAATGCAGCGTGAAATTGAAGATCGGGTTGTGCGTGTTGAGCACCAGAGGATTTCAAAGCCACAGATCATTTTCGAGACAAAAAAGAAAAAAACAAATGGTAATTGTGGCCTGTAATCTGTATCTTTGATGTTAAAAAATCTTTTCTCGATCTGGATGCAAAAATGCATGCTTTTCGAGATTTGTTCGATCGCGTCTAGTCACGAAGAGAAGAGTTGCGCCTCGAACGCTGGCATAGTCAGAGCCGAGTAATTTTCTTGCGCCTTGCAATCTTCCGAATCCTCGAAATCCTTCTAATTACAGGGATCGAGCGATTGGAAGCAATCAGTGCATTTACGTGGAGTTTGCGAATGATTTCTCGAGATGGAGTTGGAAACTCGTGATAATACGAAGGGTAGCAATCTTGGATGATGTTTTCGAAAGAGATCTTTTACGATAATACTCTACCTATGGTTTTTTTCTTCTCTTTCCTCTTCAAGATGGATTCACGAAGCAACGTTAATTCCTCCTCGTTTAATTCCTTTTTAAATTAAAATTCTCTGAATTAGTCTCTGAAACACAGCTGTATCAGTTTTTCTGAATACTAGGAAACTTCCTTTTTGGAAGTTTTATCAGTCAGTGGACTCTGTATGTTTTATTCGATTGATTTTGCTAAATATGGTCGAGTAGAAAACGCCGGCAAGTGTATACAGATACAAGAGAGGAGTGCAAGAGAAAGTGCACGAATCCAGATAAGTTGTTGAACAGATTGTACACATTATATCTAAATTACGCAGTATTGTTGCCCAACGAGTAGCTGTTCAGCGAACGATCGAGTAATATTCACATCATGGTAGATTACTTACTCTCATCTTCTCCTCATCGTCTACGTCATTTCCTTCTTCAATGCGTGTATCTATGTCGCACACAGAGATTCACATTGCCGCAAAAGTTGAAGTTTTCTTTCACGCAATATGAATTAAGCAACACAACCGACACAAGTGATCGAAGATCTTTTTATTTCGCTGAAAGTGAGATTGCAACATAAACACTCGAGAATTGTTAATAAAATTGAATTCGCGCGTATTCAAGTTGGCCCCTTGTGACTCGAAATTTACATTCATTTCATCTACTTGTTCCACTTGTATATTTGTATATCAGATTTTACATTGGAGTAAGCACCGCGTAGCTGCAGCCAGTGATCTTTAACGATCTTTCTGTCTCCTGAGTAAGAAAATATTCTGATTATTAAGGATCGACAAGCGAGAAAGTACGCACAGTGGTTAGAAAGTTTCGTAGCGGTGGCTGTTGGAGCAGCGACGTTATTTTATTTTCTAACGAGTAGTTGGGCATAATGAAACGCACTGTTCCGCGCGCTCCTTCGGCTGGAGGGGTTGGCTGCTCGATTCGACAGTTCGGAAAGTCAGTTGGTCGATGAGTCGGTCGAAAACCCTCGAACCATACGTGAACAATACGCAGCCGGAGAACAATTGATCGTCGAGCCTGACGTTTCGAGCGGCCGCGCATCGTTCAATGATCCCTCTGTTTCTCGTCGAAAGGCGCGTTCTTTGTCGGTAAGGAGAGGCCGCCCTTGAGAAGAAAAATCGGCAAACTCGAAGGCGTTAGCAGCTCGGCGCTAAGCGACTTATCGCTGTTAGTTTCGTGTCCCGTTCCGTCGGTTGTTGTTGCACTTTTTCAGCGACTGAAAGCGTTTCAGCCAATCCTTTTTTTCAGGTAGATCTTTCACTTTCACGAACGACATTTCAATTTTACGGCTCGTTAAATAGACATAGAAGATCTGTTATGGTCCTATTGTATGGTCCTCGGTCACGCCGGGTTCAAATGAGAAAGCGTTTCGTCGATTTTTTTCCCAGCAAGATAAATCATTCGTAATAAGAAGTGGAAAATGCAAAATATCTATGCGTGTGTTCCGAAGGACGTGATCTTAAGTTTTAACGAATGCCATTTCGCTTTTGCACTTTGTATCTCATTTTCCTTCCCCGTTTGCAGCGATTAATTATCTGCAGTTAGCAAGTCGAAGCTTGTGAATATTTAGTGTCTCGTAAGAACTGCGTTGCCGTCTATATATTATAAATTCTTAGGAAAATTTACTTGAATTCAATAAAGTTCTACAAAAATGTACACTCAGTATCAAATACGATCTTATTCAATCGTAAAATATTAATTTTTATAATTTTATAGAATTTTTTTATTCATTTCTTTTAGAAATAGTTAGTCGAATAAAAGAGCAAAGAGACGATAGAAAAAGTTTGAAGATCGATGCGAAAACAAAGCGTTCCAATCCGAATTTGTAACAAGTTCTTCAGGCTCTTAAGAACTCTACTGCTATTTCCGCAATATCGACAGCCAGGAGAAATTGAAATTGAAATACCAACTGACAAACAGCAGCAATTTTGTTACAAACACAGGAAAATTATTAGTAATCTAATATTAATATATATAAATAATAAATATAATTTTTATTCAAAACACAATTGGTAAATATATATTGACAGATAATATTGAATGTAAGAAATACGTTGTGTTGGGTATTATTCAAAAATTGTCTGCTTTTCGTGCATACTCTGCCTGTGTTTTTTGCACTTTACATATGCATATATTTTCGTCCACATTTACATATGCTTTTTGCATTTTGTATGTTTGCATGTACTGTTCGCATTTTTTACACTTGCAAATATTTCCGTACGCTTCGGTGACGAGTAAAACACGTCATATTGAGTGAAAGTTTGACCACAATTTGTTTTTTTAATGCTCGATATTCGATTAATATTACTTGCGCTACATATGAAAAAAATAGTGCATTAAAAAAATAGTGCATCTTCATCTATTAAATGAGTTATATGTCGTACCTCGCAGTTATTGTCCATTAAAATATCGATTAGTTTCATTCGTCCTTGGAATACGAAGCTTCAGATGGTTGCATCGTCACCCAAAGTGTAATATTAATATATTTAATATGCATAATAACTACATCACAAAGCACAATAGAGGACGAACCAGGATGAATTAATGTATAGAAATTATTTCAGAATATCGTAGTGTTTCACAGATGATTTATAATAAAATTATCTAATACTTTTTTTATGCAACGTCTATTTTATCTGATCTTCAATTAATTAATTAAAATAACGAGAATTAGAAAACCAGTGACGATCGTGGAAGTACGAAGAAATAAGAATTGCTTGCGACGATAAAAATCCTCGGGATTCCTCGAATATTTCCTGAAATTTCACCGTTCGTTGCTATCTCGGGACGATCGCTCGGAACGAAGTTCACGTAAGGCGATAAATCGATCAGTAATGGATCTAATTGGAACCGTGCCGCGAAAGAGTAAGAGCAAGAAAGGTGGGGTGCACGAGGCCGCGAGGATCTGCCCGATAAACGAGATATTGTGTTTCGCCTTGTAGGTAATGGTAATCGTGGATGCCTCGATAAGGTCGACGAGAGTACAACGCGATCGTTCCTTCCCTCTAAAGTCGTTCCGTAACGAACTCCCTTAGATCCCTTAGATCTCGATGTTCCCCGTCGAGGCAGCGGACTCACGTTCGCGTACACGTAAGTTATTGTACACACCTGGACCGTAAAACAATGTCAATCCGGCACAATGAAACGATTCCTCAGCATCGGACCAGACCGACGCGAAACCCGTACAAGTCGCTTAGAAATGATTTACCGAATCGCGCGGATCGGATGGTTATCGTGGACAACGCGCGAACGTCGCAGCTAATTGCTTCGGTGCTTCCTCGGATATAAATCCGATTTTCTTTAATCCTTTCACGTCGTTGAAACGTCCCATAATGCGCGTTTATTCTCAATGCGCTTACTTATTGCACTAAAGCGGACTGAATTTCTTCTTCTTTTTTTCATTTATTATTGTAAGATTGTGTCGAGTTAGGTATTATTTTCTTTAATCCTTTCGTCGTTAAAATCTCTCAGCATATGCGTTTGTTTTTAAATTGTCGAATGAAACACTACTAGCTATTAGCTGAATTAGGTATGATAATATATACTTGTGAAATCTTTTAATGATGATATTCATCACTCACGTACTTATTGGTTTTGTCAAACTTTTTTGCACAACCTTTACACATATTTAGAAGATCATCTGGTTTTAGATTATCTTATCTTTGGCCAGTTCATTTCTCTTGTTTCTTTTTTCTTTTTCTTTATTTTCCGTGTTCTTCTAGCAAACAAAGCAGTCTGCTGGCAATCTCATTTCTGTCTATTTGAACAAGCTTTGCGGCGTAGGTGTCCAACAGCACGAAGCGACCTGATTTCCATTGTCACATATAAAGTACGTGATTATTCCAAAAACAATAATCACTGGTGGAGTTGGTCAGATTCTTTCGTTCCACGGAAGAAGATTGCAGAGAAAATATTTTTATAGAGACAGTTAAGAGAAAACTCGACTTGAGCAGAAAATATTACAAGTACTCTACTATCCTCTGCGGATCACTAACAGATTTTTGTATCTTTTAAATTTTTCGCGAATGCATAAGAATCTGCAATTTACTTAGAAAATCTACAAATACGCCTTTAATGAAGTGAACATAGTGGCAAAATGTACGTGAAGGGATTAAACCGTGACTATTAATCTGTCATAAAATATCAGTCACCTGTCACCGCGAAAGGATACGTATGTGTCGCGTTAATGCAGCGAGTTCTACAAACCAGCAAAGGCGTGCCAAGGTACGCTTGTAACACGTAATATGTGCTTAAAGCATACAAGTCTGCTTCTATACACGGTGACAAACTTGCACCTCGATTAATCTAATCGACTCGGCGTGGGTTAGATCAACCAAGTAGACGACACACAGTGGCAAACACTCTACAGAAACTCTCAAACGGCTCCTGGAACCAGCTGGCTTGATGTTACAATACTTGGAACTCCTAATAATTGAACGAAACGATCCCCGATGATTGAAGGGGCAAAAAAAGAAAACCTCTTACATCTAATTGTCGATCTGTGTAATGAGCTTCAATGGGTTCGTGCCACTTCTACGTCCTGAACATCGGACTTCCCCCGTGCGACCCTTGCACGCGTGAGAAGTTCAAAGGCTTCACTGTTCATTTCGAGCATCGTCACAATCAACTCGTTCAACGAGTTCGCCGCGAAAAGGTAAAAATGCTTTATCTATCGGTATCTTCTTCGGAACAAGATTTCCGAGGAGGCAGTCGGCTTCGTTAATACGTACATGCACGCCACGAGTGTAGAAATTTTTAATTTCCGTAAATAGATGTGGATGGTTGAGATAATTAATTACGTAAAACTGGTTGAGTTCCTCTCTTGAAAATTTCTTCTAAATATATTGCTCACGATCTTTCGTTCGTTTCGAGTGGCTAAACTCGTATTCGATTGATTTATTTCTGGTTGGAACACTTTTGAAGAAGATGTGGAACACTTGGAGCTTGAAACTAGTTTTATCTCCCTCAAAAATACATTAATAATTTAATTAAGTAGACAGTAATTTATTATATAATATATACACACATTCGTACTCGAAAGCTTGAAGCGCATTATCTCAAAGAGATAACTTGTTGAGTGGCAAATTTACACAGAAACTATTCGCGTATTTCTCGTCAATTGAATATGAAAGTGAAATAATCTGAATAAACTTCAATACATACTTTACATATTTATACATATATATTACGTCCTACATTGCTCTCTAAAAACCGCAATAGCCAACGCGAGTTAACTCACGATCGATCAACAATATGTCAAATAATTAAGATATGATTTTAAATCTGAAATGGATCGATCAACGAAATTAGAAAGCAACGGCTGCTCGAAACTCTTGACCAATAACGTTACAAGTGACTCGAGAATAATATAAATTCCTTATCTCCAGCGAAATGTAGAGAAAAAATAAAAATAAAAAAAAAATAAAAAAAGGAACAGGAGGTGCGCCCATCATTTTGTCAGTCACTGTACACGTTTAACCTTTCGCTCCGATCTGCGAGTGTCGGAGAAGCCGCGCGACGGCTCGGACTCGGCGCATCGCGCTCGCACGTATTAGGGCGTGACGTTTCGCCACGATTTATCTTGAGCGCGCTAGCTGATGCATCGTAAACAGAAATGTTTGAGTAACGGGGTCATTACACTCGCCGGAATAATCGAGCTGCAACGTAACGTAACGTAACGTAACGTAACGTAACCTAACGTAACGTCTAGCGAGAGTCAAGCATATATACATAGTACGTATATAGTTCTTCTGTCACTGTGTGACAGGCGCAACCCCCTTGTCCGAAAGCTCTAGTGAAAGCTCGCTTTTTCACCGTGAAATTACTCCGTCGAATAAGAACGAGAAGCGTGCACGGAGCTCTCTAGGAGCGGTCAGAGGTCGCCGGGCAACTTTGGCAGACCGGCATAGCCGAGTAATGGTGGTTAATAACAGGCTCGCGAGACGAGGGCAGGTGCTCAACTCGTCCTGATTAATTAACCAATGATAGGCTTTCTTGTTCCACACGGATGTGTCCGGATACTCTGTGCATCCTCTCACGGATGCGGTGTCCGATAGAATTAGCGACGGGACTGATACGATACGTAACGATGATGTTGAAACAAGTTGATCGCTGCAGTGGCTGATGGAATTACGTACATTCGTTTGCCTGAAATTTCTGAAATTTTGCTCATACTGTATAAATGGCGAGATACACGTACGATGAGATACAGATAGAAATTCTCTTCAAGTATTTCTGTTACACATTGACAAAATTACATACATTGGTAAAATTTAAATATATCACGTATAGATTCAAGTATAGACGTTAGAAGCTTCGAAATTAAAATAAATAAAAGGACATTTTTAATAAATTCTGAAATTGTTGTTCTACAAGTTTTTATTTAACGTGATAATTATTGATAATTATCGTTTCGATTCGGGTCGTCAAAATTCATTTGGAAGAGTTAAAATATTCTCTGACGTTGCCCATCTACGTTAACAATCGCACGCAAAGAATTCCCAGCCCTTCTGTTTAAAAAGAACTTGCATCGATGCAGTTTCCTGTATATTTTTACTTTCTCGTCGTTGAGCTCAAACTGATCGGAAACCAAGCAGTCGTACGTTTCCCTAGTAAGTAAATATCGATAAATAAGTAAACATCGGTGCGATATCAATGCCAACGATACTCGTTGCCCGTTTGCCGAAGATACTCGGACGAAACCGTTACGGACGTGTTCCCTGCGAACCTGAAATCGTGTGTCTCGTCGAGGAATAATTATGATTTCATTTCGTAACAGATAGACCCGGCAAGAAATTCTCAAGTAGCCTCTGTTGCTTACTACTTATTACTTGTTAGCTAGAACAGAGCCTGGAAACTCGCCTTGGCGCGTAGACATCGTGAAAGTCTATCGCGTGGAATGATAACGTGCTGTCGAACTTGGATAGCTTGACAACTTGAAATTAATTAACAGGTTTGTGCGGAATATGTGGCTTATCGTAAGGACTTACGCAGATAACAAGGCAGCTCGGAGCTTTAACTAAATTTCAATATGTTCTAATAAATAATAAATTTGTTACTTTGAGTCGTTTGATGACTGGCTTTCATTGTTTGTACAATCTTGGCCTCTCAGTTTACATCTATAAATTTGGTTTGATATACATTCCTCTCATTCTTCCGTATAAATGAAATTTAATTTATAATTCGTAGTTGTCAACGAATCGGAGCAAGATCTGTCTACATCAGACTTTTAATTTGTTTCTTGTATTCGTATCTAACATCACACATGTGACATGGATAGCAAACAATGAGAAAGAATTTCGAAGCATTCTAAATAATAAATTTGTTGCTTTGAGTCGTTTGATGACTGGCTTTCGTTGTTTGTACAATCTTGGCCTTTCAGTTTACATCTATAAATTTGGTTTGATATACATTCCTCTCATTCTTCCGTATAAATGAAATTTAATTTATAATTCATAGTTGTCAACGAATCGGAGCAAGATCTGTACATCAGCCTTTTAATTTGTTTCTTATTCTTTATATAGCAAACAATGGGAAAGAATTTCGAAGCATTCTAAATAATAAATTTGTTGCTCTGAGTCGTTTGATGACTGGCTTTCGTTGTTTATAGAGTCTTGGCTTTTAGTCTTTGTTTATATAAATTTGGTTCGATACGTATTCCTCTCGCTCTTTCGTATAAATTATAGTTGTCAACGAATTGGAAGATTCATGTATGTCAGCCTTTTAACTTGTCCCTTGTATTCGTATCTAATATCACGTGTGACATGAATAGCGAGGAATATTAGCATAAAAAAAGGGGAGAAGTAGACAAGAAACGTAGGAAGTTGCTTGTTGTTATGCTGTTTGACCGTGACCACGATTTGTTTGTACCTTTTTTCCTCTGACACTTTTTCTATGTTCTTCCGTGTCTATGCTTGATGTTGCGTAATGGAATACGGAAACGCACCGAAATGGTCACGACGTGATTTCCGCGCAGGTATCCAGATGAGATCGCAACGATGCGTCATGGAAAATATGCAAAGCTCGTTGTGGTGGTTCATAAATCACGCGCCTACGTAAAAATCGTCGACTCACGCGGAAATATGATTGCGACGCGCGTTGCAGCTCACATCGGGAAAATAAACCACTTATTTGCGTGTTCCTTTGTTGTTTTTCATTTTAGAATTTGCGTCGGCTTGCCTGTAGACACCTGTAGATAAATTTCAAACGTGATTTTGAACTGATCGGAAGAATCACGAGGAGTTTAAATAACGAAGTTTAAATAATTGCAAGCTAAATGTATAAATGTACGACAGGAGTCATCAAGTTTGTAGCCTAGGCGAGAAAAAGATTTCTGGAAATTTAACGCGATGGATAACGAAGCAAACTTAATATTGAGATGGCTCGCGAGAAATTGATATTGCGATATACGCGATTTCGAACGAGAATATTCTGTTGTACGGATCTGCATTCCATATCTTATTTTGTTAACGAACGATTCATTTATATTATTTGTAACATTCACCATCAAACATTTTCTTGTATGTAATCACTATAATTCTCACGTCGAAAGGACAAACTTCTAAATCCGATGAATTTATACGAATATTCTTCTATCCTTCTTTATTCGTTCTTCCTGCAATTATTCTGTTTGCATTACGAATCTTGCGAATCTTTTGCTTTTCTACTAGCGGTGAAGTTTCTATAGTGAGATCATGTGGATAAATATTTACGTGACGTTCTGCGAATATGGTTTGTTCAACCTTGATCGTACACTGCTCCATCTTCTAGCGAAAAAATATTCAAGGTTACGCGATGATAAAGCTGTCGG